ATAAAATAAAAAAATAAATACTACCTCTCATAGTATTTTTAGTTTGTGGCTTTTTGTAAGACTTCCATTAGCACTAACTTAAAATGAGTAAGTCAAAGACCTGATATATCTGGTTTCAATCACTAAACAGGCAATAAATAGTTATTAAATACTTCAAATGCCCAAGGTCTTGTTCTAAGTATCGTTAAGCATACAAAAACGAGTAAAGCCTTGTCCCTAACCTTAAAAAAGCTTAGAGGCGGGCAAAAAAACCTCGCTGGCTTCATTCAGTTTCCTCTCATATAAGGGATTGGACAAGATGTCATCCAATGTCCCTTCCATTCAATGATTCCAAATAAAAGAAGAAAGATGTGGTAGACAGAATAATAGGCTCCAAAGATGTCCAGATCTTCCTCAAAACTTGTGAATATGTTAATTTACATGGCAAAAGAGACTTTAAAGATGTGATTGAGTTAAAGATCTTGAGATGGGAAAATTATCCTGGATTATCTGGGTGGGCCCAAAGTAATCACAAGGGGCCTTATAAGAGAGAAGTAGGAGAGATAGGGAAAGAGATACGATCACGGAAGCAAAGGTTGGAGTGATGCAGCCACAATCTACAAAATAAGGGCAGCCTCTAGAAGCTGAAGAAGGCAAGGGACAGATCCTCTCCTAGAGTTTCCAGAAAGGAAAGTAGTTTGCTGATACCTTGTTTTAACCTCTAAGACTATTTTGGACTTCTGACCTCCATGCATACATTCATTCATCAAATTTTTATGGAGCAACTATTATGTGCAAAACATTTTTGGCCTAGAGGCTGAAAATATTCCTCAATGAAGTACAAGAGATATAATTTAAACATACTAGTAAGACTTTATAAAAGTCTTAAGATTTTCATAAAAATACTAGCAGTGAGGAAACGAAAAAGCCCAGAGATGATCACATTATTCTTGCCCAGAAGCCACATAGAGGTACAGGGGGACATGTGTAGGGCATCTGTTCATAGGGAGGCCACAAATTCTGTGCCCCTTCTCACAATGACCTCAGATTCCTATTGGGTGTGTTGTAAACAGAGGAGCCATTCTTCAGGCCCCTTGCTCTGAGCACACCCCTGTACCTATACTGTAATTGAGCAAGTCTGCTTCTAGAACTACAGGGAAATACTTAAGACAAGGGCACAAGGATTATATGTATAGTAATGTTCATAACTAGAAATAAGTTAAATGAGCATCAATAGTAGGGTGGCTGTGATTGTCAGCCTCCAAGATGACCCCTGGTATTCATGCTCTTACGTAGTCACCTCCCACAAAGGATTAGGACTGGCTCTGTGCAACCAACAGAACATGGCAGACATGATCATGTGTGACTTTTGCAGATAGGTCATAAAAGACATTGTAGCTTCTGCTTTGGCCTATTGAATCACTCTTTCTAGGGGAGGGCAGCTACCATGATATGAGGACACTTAAGAAGTCCCATGGACAGAAATTGAAGCTTCTAGCCAATAATTAGTACCACCCTGCCAGCCATACGAACAAAGCATTTTAGAAGTGGATCCTCTAGTCCCAGTGAGCCTTACTGGCATAATACCACAACTTCATGAAAAACGAGGCCTAGCCATGCTCTTTCCAAATTCCTGAACAGAAATCATGAGAGATCATAAATTGTTACTACTGTTTAATACCACTAAGTTTTAGTGTGGTTTGTTATACAGCAATAGTTAATCATATACTGGTTAAATAAATTATGGTTCAATCACACCATGGAATATCTTATAGTGGAATATTCCACATCATGGACTATCATAATTAAAAATGATGTATCTACATATATTTGTAGATATTTACAGTTATCTCTGGGTAATTTAAAAATCAAACTACTAAATAACATATGTTTCATGACCTTATATATTTTTTAAAAGATTAGTTTGTATGGATAAAAAGAAGTCTGAAAGGATATTCACCAAAATATAAATAGGAAATATCTATAATGGTGAAAATATGGATAATTTTAATTTTATTCTAACTTTACACATTATCTATGTTTTTCTCAATAAACATGTTTTTACTTTATAAAAAAAATTGTTTTTAATTTGGTGGTGGCTAGAGGAGTGACTCAGGAGTTTCCAGATAATTTCAGAACTTGATTTTAACATCTCATTGATAGCATTTCTTTCTACTGCTAATAGAATTATACTTCTTGGTAATTTCAACATCCACAGAAGCAATCCATTTAAGAATCTAGATTCTCCTTTCCTCAACTTCCTCACTTTCAATAATTTTTATCTCTAATCCATCTGAGTTATCCTTCCCACAGTCATACTCTGTACCTGATCATGAGCAATAGCTACAAAATAGCTGAAATCTTGACTTCAAGCATGTCTCCCCATCACTTAACTCACAAGCTTTCCCTAGTATCCCACTGCAACAGTATCCACCTTATCACAACCGCTATATTATTGATTCCATCTACTTTTTTACCATTCATTAGCCTATTCAATCTCTTCAATTCCCTCTTTACCACAATGACATCCCATAGTTCATTATAATAATCAACCCCCTTACACACTTACATCTCATGTCCCTCTCTCACTGTCTCACATTTTTCTGAGGGGTCGGGGGCAGGGAATTCT